ATAATTTATGATTAAAACTCTACTATCTACACAATATACATAGACATAAAATGTAAAAACTTAAATATCTTAGAAACAGTAGCCAATCAGTTGTTTTAATTGTCATATTTGAATTCAGCACATCAAGATACATAATAAATAACACATTTTATCTCTGAAGCAGATGACTTCTCAAAATTTGTAGACCAGTGTTATTTGCAGGTGTACCCTGCTTTGAAAACTTACTCCTATCTTTCCTGCGGTTTGGAGACTTGATATTTAGGACTGAATTTTCAAAGTTTAGCACAAGAGACTGACCTGGTTTCATCTGACAATAAGGTTTCTTTAATGCCTGCAAAAGATCAATTTCATGCACATGAAAGGGCATTAGTATATGTCAGTTTGGTAACTCTGTATCTACTTGCACACTGATGCACCAAGTTGAGGGGGTGGAGGCATATTCCTTATGACTTACATTGAAAAAATGGCCATTCAATTTTTTCCCTCATTTTGGGTTGCCCTCCACATAGTGGATCCAGTCAGACTCACATGGAAAGGGGGCCTTGAACACCTGAAAACTTGTAGGGGTTATCCAGTTCTTTTTAACTTTCCTGCAAGGGGACTTCCAACCAGCAATTAGTGGAAGTGGGATATTGTCTCTTTGCTCACAGGACTGCAGGCCTGTGTTAGGTTTTCCCCAGCTTATTGCCTCAAGCTTTGTTTCAAAACTATTTCAGAAAAACATTATTTATTGTCTGTATTATCAGGATGCCAGGCATAGATCAAGGCCCCATTGTGTTAGACACAGTTTAAAAACAAACACAAAAACCAAGCTTATCTCAATTGTTTCTGCTTGAATCTCTGAACTAACCTCTCTTCCTGACCTGTTAGGTGCATCAGACTAGCCATCTATCAGCCAGAGGAAGTGGAGAACTGCCTGAGTCCAGTTTTATAAAGGATCTTGTTCTACCTAACTGAGGTGGAGTAGGAGGAGGATGTTCAACTGCAGGATTTTACCTCCACTTACAATCTTAAAAAGCCTCATGTTAGAAGCGCAGGAAGAAACGGAGCTAGCAGCGGTCATGTTAAGAAAGGTATAGCCCCAGAATAATTTTCTCTATAAGAAATTTGTCTACAGATGCATTCCCCAGAGTCTTTTTTCCTTATTAGACGGAATTATTGATGGTATAAGTTTTTGAATTTTAAATATATATTGTATTTTTGTATGTTTTGATCTTTTTTGCACAATATATACTTCAGCACAAAATAACCCTAAGCCTGGAATTGCCTGCTTTACCCCAAGCCATGAACGTTCAAAAATAGACAAAGCTGCACCTGGCAAATGTGGATAAATCTGCAAACAGATAAGTCATGCAAAATAAGTCTCTGAGGGCAAGATTCACAAAGGGATTTAGGCTTACTGACGCTGAGCATCACAATGATTAATTTTTAAGTGCCTAGAAAATCATGGGAATAACACTGGGTTTCACAAAGCCTGAGTTAGGTGCTTGGGATCCCTGTATAATGATGGGGGAAAGAGAAGGGCTTTAGAATGGAATTAACAAAAGACAGCCTGCTAGGGAGAGAGCCACCTAAACTAGCCAATGAGAAATGTGGACCAGATAGGTGTGTGCTAAATCCCATCCCTCTAACAGAGAGAGGTACCTAAGTCTGGGCTGTAGGGACATGCTTGCCTCCTCTGTTTGAGATTCATGCTAGGAACCCCTCTACAGGAGTCAGGTGGCTCAAGCACATAAAGTGTTTCTTGTGAGAATAATTTAGGCCTTGGCTACACTCGCGGATTCACAGCGCTGCGCTGTGAAGCGCAAGTGTAGTCGCGCCGCCAGCGCTGCAAGAGCTCTCTTGCAGCGCTGCAAGTACTCCACCTCTCCGAGGGGAATAGCTTGCAGCGCTGCAGGTGCTGATTAAACTGGCGCTTTACAGCGCTGCACTCGGGGGGGGGGGGATTTTCACACCCCTGAGCGCAGCAAGTTGCAGCGCTGTACAGCGCCAGTGTAGCGAAGGCCTCAGGTAAACTTCTAATCCACACAAAACAGCAGGGGCAGCAGGAGGAGGAGGTGGGGGTGGTGCCCATTTTATAACCTGTGGCCAATGGTTAGAGCGTTCCCCTGGGATGTGGGAAACTTGTATTTATTTCCCCCACCCCCTACCAGAGGGGAAGAAAGAAGTGGGAGACTATCTCACAAATCATCAGGACTCTGCCCTAAGCACTGAGGTATGGGATATTCTGATGTGGGTCTCCCTCAGTCTCATCTGGTGAAACATCTTCCACTGTGGATAAAAACTTGGATAGTCATTGGCCCGGAGAAGTGAGAGAATGACTCTGTCACCGGGTAGTTGGGAGGGAAGTCCTAGGGTCCAGTTCCCCTGCTCCAGTTATAGTTTAATTTGCCTCTAGTCAATATTACTGTTTCCCCAGTGTAGACAATTAATCAGTTTCCCCCCTTGTCTGTGGGTCTTTCACACCCTAACAAGTAAGGAAGGAGAAGGGACTTATTAGCCCGGAGGGAAAGCCCCTTCACCTGCTGCCCTAAATTGATGAAGTCCAAGACCACAGAGTTAAACTTTTGCAATCCTACTAGACAGAGATAAGGGACCAGAAAGAAATTTTGGAAATCCAGTTTATCATCTAGCTATAAAGACCTACATTTATCACACACACTTTGACCAAATTGTATTACTCTGCAACTCTGTCACGTTAAATATTCAGGAGCTGGGTTCCTCAGTCGCTGTAGGTGGGTTTTCTTTCTTGAAGGAACGATCTGACTATAACCAGCTTCACATTATCATGGTACTCAGCTGTCTCACTCCAGTGTGTAACTCAGTAAGTCATGTGACACAACACCACACAGCAACACAGCTCAAAAGTAAACACACGGAACAGGTGGGAACATCGGTATGCCGAACAGCAGATACTGGGAGGATCTGTGCTGAAAGCCTGAATTGTGGATTATCCACAGTCCAAGTCATTCGGATTGCTGGATAATCTCGTGATCTCACTTCTGTTTTGTTTTCCAACATGGCCTTTCAACTAGCAATTGATTACTTCTCCCTTCAGAGACGAATTTTCCCGCATTCCTTGTATTCTGCTCTGGCAAAGCGTCTTCTCCTAACGGGGGAGGCTGCTTGCTGGACTTGAAGTTGTTATTATTTAAACGGTGTGAGACTAAAACCCTGGAGTTTGAGAGACAAAACTGTCTTTTTCCCAATTCGATCATTTCCTAAGAGGCACACAGAGCTCACCCTGGCGGCTGAATTGGGTGGATAGGAATTGCCGGAACGCTTCTCATTAAAGGAGCAACAGGGGACAGAAAGTGCCAGTGATTTCAGATAGTGTTTTAGGAACAGCGTCCGGTCCTCTTTCTGCCCCGCTGGTTTTTATGTGCACGGGCAACAAGTAGGTTTGCCAGCTTTGGTTGGATGTATTCCTGGACGTTTTATCTCAAGACAATCTTTAATTAAAGATGAATCTTTAATTCCGGACTCCAGGACAATTCTGGAGTTAGCAACCCTATCAAGAGCATAAACCTGTAGCCTCCTCTAGCTCTTAGGAAAGGGAAGGAGCCAGGCACTGAGATGCTGAGCTCCCCAAGCTGTTGCATAAAGAAAAGGGCGGCAGGGGCGGGAGAGTGTCTCCCAGAGGATCAGCCCCCCCAGGATGTGCACATAGAAGCCAAACGCTAAACAGGATAAGCAGCCCCCCTCCAGGCACACAAATGCGCGCGTCTGTCATCTCTCCTTGGGCACGTGTAGCCGAGCTGGATGTCAGTGCCAGAGGCCGTGGCCACAGCTTGAGCCCTGGCAGCGGCGTCTCTTCCAGCAGCAACAGCAGCTGCTACCTCGGTTCCTTTGGGGGGGCTGCGTGTGCCGTTTTCTCTGCAAGGCTCCTAGGGCCCCTGGCCAGGCGAGTGGGGCGCCCTGCGCTGGATCCGGCCAGCGCTCCCCCTTCAAAGCTCCCGCCGCCGGAGGAACAGCCCGGCCGGGGCAGGGGCAGGGCGGGCAGAGGAGCTACAGGGAAGGTGCGCGCCGGGTGGCGGAGGGAGGCGGCGAACGGGAAGGGGGCTGCAGAGCCCTTAGCGCTGGGACCCCGCCCCCGAATGGGCAGCGAGCGGGCGGAGCCTGGCCGGGGGGCGAGGCGCCGGGACTAGGCAGCGCGGGGGCTGTGCCGCTCGCCCTTTTTGAGCGCTGGCCTGGCGGGCGCGGGCCGGGGCGGCTGCGGAGTCGCGCTTCCCGAGCCGGCAGCGCCGAGCCCCCTGCCCGCAAGGAGCGGAGCGGGACACGGAGACTCACCGGCCGGCAAAGTTGGCGGGGACCGTCCTCGCGGCGCCCGCTGAAGGCTGGCCGCGGCCGGCTTTCGCTTCCCCCGTAGGGCTCAGGCTGGGCGGAGCGGGAGCCGAACAGCCCCCAGCACCTCGGAAAGTAAGTAGCGTTTCCCTAGACCTCCCTCCCGCCCGCCGCGCCCGGCTGGGACCCCGCTGTCCCTGGTCCGTGGTGCTGCGGTGAGTGCGGAGGGGGGAATTAAAACGGCCAGGAGCCGCCTTTCTGGTTTGAGGATTAGGGAGGCTAATCCGTCTTGCTTGGGGGGTCGTCAGGCACCTTCCAACGCTGCCCCTCTGCAACATACTGTTAGCAAGAAATTAAATGAGGCAGGGTTCCCTGCTGGTGGGCCATTTTCCGATCAGAATTAATTTTTCACTTACAATTTCTTCAGCCTTGTTCCGACCCATAATTGAGAAACCTGCATGTAGTTTTCAGACATGATTATGTTTTCTAATTCCTTGGGCTGCGGGGTAGCAGCCTGCACGGAATTGCTGGAGATTACATCTCATCTACATCATATCTAAGAATCACCCTGCTGAAGACAAGATTTTCTTTAAATCCTGACTTCTAAACAGATGTAGATGTATTTTTCTACATGCCAGATTAAAATTATCTGAAAAAATCTATAAAAAAGTTTTAAAACATCAGATTAAGTCACAAACAACGATCTAGCCAGTGTTGTATTTCTTTCCCCTGGCATTTGGCCATACATATTTACTCTGCTGACAGATGTGAGGGAGTTTAAATGCTTGGGCAGTTTTAAGGTACTCAGTGAAGATGTTGTCTATTAATCTGTTGAAGAGTTGCCCTGTTATAGCTGCTAAAGCCTAAAATAGTATCCCAAAGGTACTCCCCAGGTCCCAAAAATGGCACCTCTTCATCACTTTTGCTCAATGTTAATCTTAACTGTAAAAAGAAGAACAGGAGTACTTGTGGCACCTTAGAGACTAACAAATTTATTAGAGCATAAGCTTTCGTGGACTACAGCCCACTTCTTCGGATGCATCCGAAGAAGTGGGCTGTAGT